GGGCGTGACCTCCTTCACCCTGTGCGCTCTGGGCATCGACCGCTTCCACGCCGCCACCTCCTCGTCCCAGCCCAAGGCGCGGCGGGTGGCGCGCTGCCGCTCGGTGCTGCTGAAGCTGCTGCTGGTGTGGCTGGCCGCCCTGCTGCTGGCCAGCCCCGAGATCTTCCTGTGGCAGCTGAGCCGGGCCGTGGCGCCGGCCAGCGGCCGCCTGCTGGACTCCTGCTCCATCGGCCTGAGCTCGCCGCTGGCGCTCCAGCTGCCCGACTCGCTGCACTCGCTGCTGCTCAGGTACCACCAGGTGAGCCCAGGACACACACGCCTCCACACAACACGCCCCTACACACGCCCTCACACACGCCCCTACACAGGTCCCAGCACACGCCCCTACACACGGCCCTACACACGCCCCCACACAGGTCCCAGCACACGCCCCTACACACGCCCCTACACACACCCCCACACACGCCCCCAGCACACGCTGGCCCCTGAACGACGCCTGGTGCTGGACCATTGGGTGGAAATGCACGATTATTGTAGACTACATTGCGATTTGAGATTACAGTATTATAAATGAGGGCAGCACAGTGGTGTGGTGGTTAGGACCATGGCCTCACAGCCAGAGGGTTCTGGGTTGGAGTCCCAGGGGAACCAGGACCTTTCCCGGTGGAGTCTGCATGTTCACATCACATCACTATGGTTACGGTTACGACAATGGCTGGATGGGCATTGCGATTAGATTCCATTGATCATGCAGCACTAGCGGGACTCCTAGGGCTCCTGGGGCTCCTTGGGCTTCCGGGGGTCCTGGGGGCCCCTGAGGCTCGTCGTAGAGGTTCTACTTTACTGTTAGGTCCAGGTTTTGTATTTTTTTGTGTCATGTTGAAAACATACAAACACTATTAACGCCGGGTAGTCACGTCGCTATGGTTACGGTTACGATAATGGATGGAAGGGCATCGCGATTAGATTCCATTGATCATGCAGCACTAGCGGGGCTCCTGGGGACTCCCAGGGGCTCCCAGGGGTCCTGGGGACCCCCGGGGGCTCCGACTAACCTCTGTCCGGCGTTGCCCCCCCCCCAGGCCCGCATGTGGTGGTGCTTCGGCTGCTACTTCTGCCTGCCCGTGCTCTTCACCCTGCTGTGCCAGCTGGCCACCCGCAACGTGAGCAGCGACTCCAGCGCGGCGCAGAAGCAGCGCGGGCTGGAGGACGGCGCCGGGGGGGCCGGGGGGGCCGGGGGGGGCCACGCGCGGCTGCAGCACCAGGCGGTGGAGCGGCAGCTGGGCTGCACGCTGCTGGCCCTGGCCGTGGTCTACGGCCTGTGCGCGCTGCCCGAGCACGTGTGCAGCATCACGCTGGCCTACACGCACGCCGCCGTCTCCCAGGAGACGGCCGCCATGCTGGCGCTGCTGCACCACTTCCTGCTCTTCTTCAAGTCCTCGGTCACGCCCGTGCTGCTGCTCTGCCTGTGCAAGGT